ATCGGATTTGTGCCGTTCACACTGTCATACCATGATCGGATATGGGTCGCATAGGGTCAAAAAAATCGGATTTGATGCGCTTTCGCCTGCAGTGTGAACGTAGCCTTAAACTGAACCTGTGTGACAAAATGAAGCCAAAATCAACACGTTCTCCTGCACATTTATAGAAACAGATTATGATGCAATCTTGAGTAATAACAGAAATGAATGAATAGAGAAAAAGATAAACACAAACAATAGGAGTCGATACAGAGTAACATAGAGCTCATCTCGGAAACACAAATGTTGTTTGGCACAACGGTGAATTCAGATCTACTAGACATGACAGGCGTAAAAATGAGAAGGAAAGCAGGTGAGAAACAGTCTGGGACAGGGTGCAGAACCATTTCAGAGGCACTGGGACTCCAGGAAACCATAATGAGAGCCAATATCTACAAATGAAGAAAAATGTTCCTATTTGGCATAACCTTTAAAATGTTAACACACCCCAATGTGGCTGAATTAAAACAATTCTGCAAAGAGTGGGACAAAATTCTTCCACAACAATAAGACTGACTCAATGCCAGTTATTAGTTCAGCAATTTATTTTGAAAAGGCTATAATGAATTAATTAATCTTGCTTGCAGAGTTCTTGGTAACTACATGAGAGTCTGTGCACTCCGTTATTATTACCCGATTCCATTATAGTGTTATTGTACAATGAAATCTCTATCTTGTCCTCTCCTTTCCCCTCTCGTGTTTGTTCTCCTCAGTGCTCATATGGATTCATCTATGATGGAGACCAGTTGAAGGTCACCTGTTTTCAATGTCGAAACAGTTTCTGTGCTCACTGTAAAAAGCCTGTAAGTGTCTCTTTGTGTTTCTTGTTTTCTTACCACTTTATGCTCAGCCTCTTCCATTTGTTTGGTTTCACTTTTTCTGCAGAGCTGCAGTCTTATCCATTTGTTAAGCCATAAAAATATGACATCCCAAGCACGTCTGCTCTTCACAACTCTTTTAAGAACCTTAACATTAAAGTTATGTCCTAACTGAATAGTCCAAAAATACGAAACTGGAGGAATCATTACATTTCCCCCTCAAAGTGGGGAAAATGTAATAACCGTGTGCGTCTGGTATAAAGAAAGAAAGAAAAACGAATGCTTGGGCCTTGCTAGCATAATGGACGGGTTTTGACGAGGATGAAGCATCATCAAATTTGCTTCCAAGCCAAAGACTATAAAATATGATAAAGCATATCTCGCCTTTGGCTTCACCTGCACAGCAGTGGGTGATGAGGAGAGGCAGCAGTGTGTCGTCTGTCTTAAAGTGCTAGCTTGTGACAGTTTAAAGCCTAACAAGCTGAGATGCCACTTGGAGACAAAACATCCAGAGCACAAAGACAAGTCAGCTGACCTTTTCAGACAAAAACCGCTCAACAGTGTCTCGTTACTAAAGCTGCATCTGTGCTGGCAATGCTCAGCTCAGCTCCTATAAAGTTGCCACAGTTGCGGAGGAATTAATACTGTTTGCTGATAACGTATGTCCGATTCATTGATGAAGATGCTGAGGGAGGAATTGCTTTTCTGCAAACAAGTTCCTGCCAGAGCCAGCGCAGAGAAACTGTTCAAAAACATCGAGGACTGTGTGGGGATCTGCACAGACGGCAGTGGACGCACTGTAAGACACCGCGAAGCACTAGTGTCTAAACAGCTGAGTCCTGAGCTGAATGACATAATGAGTGATGTCGTCGCCACAGTCAACTGCATCAAAACACGACCTGTGAAAGCCTGGATCGGTTGAAGAAGCGGCCACAGTTCTGCATCACAGTGAGCTCCACCTGCTGTTACGTGGGATGGTGCCGTCCAGGCTCTTTGAACTTCGAGAGGAGATCTGCATGTTTTTGAATGAAGAAGGCTGTGATCTCACCAACAAATTTAACTGTAACAACGTTTTCATGAAACGGGCATACCTCAGCGACATGTTCCTGAAACTCAATGAACTGAACGTGCAGATGCACAAACGCTCAGCTCCCACATCTGGCAGATAAACTCACATCACTTGTCAGAAAACTTGAGATGTGGCAGCAGCGAGTGAAAGATGGAAATGTGGACTCATCTGAGAATCTGAAATCATTCACTGAGACAACAAGCTGCAGAACAATGATCTCATGCATGATGTCTGATTCAAAGACCCTGGCTGTACCACTATACTTACTCCCCCCCTTCCTTCTTCCACCTAATGGTATGATCCCAGTCTGTCTAGGAATGTAATGGGCAGCACGGTGTGCCCATCAAAATAAAGTCTCACCCCTGCCTCCAGGCTGTTAATAACTGACACGTGAAATGATCTGGTGGGATGTATATATAATTATATCATGGGCTGGATGGGGCACATAAGTTTGACACCCCTGGGCTAATATTTTATTTTGTGAACTAGTCCTCGTAGACCATCTGCAACCATTTTGTCCGTATATTTTATTTGTGCTTGTGTGCAATCCAAGCCTTAATAAATATTATAAATGTTTATAATTTAAAAGAAAATGAAATATTATGTGATTATAAATATCTTTCTATGTAACTTTTACAATACTAATTCATTTTTATTCGCTCTGTTCTGTACTCATTGGTAAACATTGTTTGTGTGCAGTGGGAGTCTCAGCATGCTGGTCTGTCCTGTGAACAGTTCCAGTCCTGGAAACGAGAGAATGATCCAGAATATCAGAGACAGGGCCTGGCTGGATACCTCAGAGACAACGGCATCAGTAAGTACACACA